ACAACAACCTCAAAATTACGATGAGCCACAGATACCTCCAAAAAAATACAAATGTGAAACATGTTATTTGGAGACTCGTTAGAGAAGATTAAGCTAATATGATGCACAAAGCGTCGGACAGCAACCTGCCTCTCATATGCCCTCATGCTATAGGAGAAAGTAAAAGGGCAGATATCTCCTAATGAATCAGATGAATGAAAGAATATGTTCTAGTTTTAATTAAATTTCAATCTATGATTAATCTTGTACAGCAACTTTATAAAAGTTATTTTGAAAAATTTGTTTAATATAAATACAGTACAAAGTCTGTAATCCGGACGTCCATTATCCGGAATGATCTATAATCCAGACCTCAAAACACAAACTTACGCATGCGCGTTTGATGCATGCGTCCGCTACGCATGCGCGTAAAGCCAGCATTTACACATGCGCGCTTCCGATAATGAAGAAGTGACAGAGAGGTTATTGAAAACGAAAAAATTTTGATTAACAAGTTAGTTGGTATTCTCGACACAGCAATTACAGGACTTGAACAGTGGGACTTTGTAACTGAACAAGAAAGTAGGTCTGCTTATAGAAGAGAGAATTAAAGAGAAAGTATTAGCACAAAAAAACGAAGCAACTTAAACTGAAAGAAATGTTTAATAAAGTAAACAATTAAATATTAAGCTTTTTTTTTTTTGTAAATTTTGATACCCTTTAGATCATAATTGCTCTTTATTTCATAAATTACAGTTTAATATTTTTAATTGTACAATTTCTGCGTGCCATTGTACCAGATTTAAATTGATGAACTATATTCTGGAAAAACCCTAATCTGGAATTGCTGAAGTCCCAAAGAGTCCAGATTATAAACTTTGTACTGCAGTTTCTTTTCAAGATTATAAAAATTGTTTCATTGTCCCTTAAGTATTTTTATAACTTGTGAAAGTTTAATAACAATGGAGAACATTTGATTTCTGTAAGAAAAGAATGTTTTATGTACAAAAAAAAATTTAGTAAATAAAGAAATGCCTCTCAGGCTCAATGCCCCCGAATGTGTTCAGAAACATATTGAGCCCGATGGACTGTAAGGGGATTTTTTATGCTGAGGTAAAAACGTACAATTTTGGCATTTCCCAAATGAAATTTAAAAAATGAGCCATTAAATCCATAAACATAATACAGTCAAAAGTCGTTAATTCGGACACCCATAATTCGGAATAATCTATAATCCGGACCTCAAAACTAAAAACTTTCTGCGCAAGCGCCGCTTTGACACATGCGCATAGGCGTTTACGCGTGCGCGTAAGACCTTTTACGACTGCGCATATGAGTGTGCGCAAGTGCAGAATACGTTTTCGCGTGCGCGTTTTATGTATAATGGACGTATAAGCTAAAATTATCTAATTATCTATTTCAGTTAATGTTGATGATTGCGTTGTTCCTTAATTTTCGAATTGGATCCGGCTTATTATTTTTTGCAGACTGTAAGAGCAATTTTATAAAAGTAAGCTTAACTTTCGATTATGTCAAATAGAATTTCCGATATATTTGTTAATATGTAAAGGATCTAAAGCGAAAGTATGTTTTGAAATCCGAAATCTGTTTATCAATTTCACGCTGCTCGGCGGGGGAAATGCCGCGCTAATGAATTGGAAGTTGATCTGTCAGCACTATCCTTATCTTCAGTTCAGATGTTTTTATTTTAATTTGGCTTATAATTTCCTTACTAAATGTAGTATTTCATCTCGATGTACTCCGTCTTTGATATGATTTAAATCAAATTCCTCGTCATTATAATTCGCTTCCGATAGTGAAGAAAGTGACAGAGAGGTTTATTGAAAACGAAAAATTTCGATTGACAAATTAGTCGGTATTCTTGACACAGCAATTATAGGACTTGAACAGCGGAACTTTGTAACTGAAAAAGAAATTATGTCTGTTTAATAGAATTAAAGAGAAAGTATTATCACATGAAACGAAGCAAAACTTAAACAACTTACATTGAAAGAAATGTTTAATAAAGTAAACAAATAAATATTAAGCTTTTTCTTTTTGCAAATTTTGATACCCTTTACATCATAATTGTTCTTTATTTCATAAATTACGGTTTCATATTTTTAATTTTAGAATTTCTGCATGCCATCTTACGAGATTTAAACCGATGATCTATAATCCGGAAAAATCGATAATCCTGAATCGCCGAAGTCCCGACGAGTCCGGATTAACAACTTTTGACTGTACAGATTTAAGCACTGAAATTTTGGTAAAAGTATATTTACGGATAACCCTTGGCAAAAATTGGCGGTACATGGATACCAAGTTTGTGCAATTCTTTGAGTTGTTATTTTGCCTTTATGTAGCAGCGATTCTTTATCCATGTACATATCGACCAATTTTCACTTAAAAAAACATCAGAGAATTGCACAAACTTGGCATTGTGTACTCCCTTGACTTTGTCCATGTACACATCGATTTAATTTTCATTTAAAAAGTTAAAGGAGCACCCAATTTTACGTAAAAAGGGTATTTACGGAACATTCAACTACTCAGGTTACCATAAATGAAACAACAACTTCGTGATAATACAAGGGGTACCCTTCAGTCTACTCTAAACAAAATTTTTTTGCTTTTGCAGTTTATAAGAAAAAGCACCATTCGAATTTCACATAGAAGAATGAAAGTGTTTCCGACAAATGAGTTCTCTTCAAATCAGTATAAAACTAACATCTCTATTTCTCTTCCTGTCCTGCAAAATTTTATGATGATTGTTTCTGGGTTTTGATTACTCAACAGCAACCTTATGCAATATAGATGTGTTTACTTTTGGGGGAAAGTGCAGAATCACTACTGCTTGGCGCGTTTTTAGGAATTGCACATCTCGGTATCCATGTACACGTCGACCTATTTTCACTTAGAAAAACATCCCAGAATTGCACAAAAATGGCATTGTGCACTCCTTTGATCGATGTGCAAAGCAAGCTAATTTCACATAAAAAGGGTTGATCTTTACATTATGGTAACTTGGCGTTTTTTTGGCGAAAATTTGGCGACCAACTCTCCTACAGCAACCCTCTATTTTTTTTCCCGCCGCCATTTTGTCTTCACGAAGTAAAGACATGTTTCTTTTCTTTTTATCTACTGAACACTTCTTCCAACAATCTACTAGCTGAATTACACTTATGCTAGAAATTTTATCTAACAAAACTGCTTAATCATGACAAATATTCACTGCAAAATTGGGAAAAAGTGCACAATACCATACTCCTTACGCGTTTTTCAAAATAACACATACACATAAACCATGTACACACCGACTTATTTTTACTTAAAAAAACATCCCAGAATTGCACAAAAATGGCATCGCGCACACTCTTCACTATATCCATGTACACTGCTTTTTTCTCATAAATTAGAAAAATTTCACGAAAATACATGACAATTTTCTCAATCTTTAAACCCGGTAAAAAGAACATATATGAAATTACCTGATCGCGAAAAAGTATTTACCCTTTCCAAATATGAACATTTCCACATATAAAATAAATAAAATATCCAAAAACTTTTACCTCTAAATCATCTATTACATTATACACGTCACCAATGAATTCATACCGCAAGCATTACAAATACTTAGTATCAAATATTTAAATTATTTCCATGCACGTTTACTTCAACTTAATCGTGTACCAAATTCATACAAGCATAAAATTCACAAAATAACTATCATTTAATTAAAATATTACTAAACCATGTACACGTCGACTTATTTTTACATAAAAAAACATCCCAGAATTGCACAAAAATGGCATTGCGCACACTCTTCACTATATCCATGTACATTGCTTTTTTCTCATAAATTAGAAAAATTTCACGAAAATACATGACAATTTTCTCAATCTTTAAACCCGGTAAAATGAACATATATGAAATTACCTGATCGCGAAAAAGTATTTACCCTTTCCAAATATGAACATTTCCACATATAAAATAAATAAATATCCAAAAAACTTTTACCTCTAAATCATCTATTACATTATACACGTCACCAACGAATTCATACCGCAAGCATTACAAATACTTAGTATCAATATTTAAATTATTTCCATGCACGTTTACTTCAACTTAAACGTATACCAAATTCCTACAAACATAAAATTCACAAAATAACTATCATTTAATTAAAATATAATTAAATTCAAAAACACTACTTAAAATATAAATGAGCACATACATTAATTAATACATACATAAATACCCATTTCGAATTCACTTTAGTTACGGGCCATGGGATCCAAAAATTCAATCGAACACTGTTTCACACAACACACTATGAAGCTAAAGCCAAATGCTAAACGCAAAAAAATTTCCAGATTTTTTCCCGATTTCCCCCCTTTTCCGATTAAAGAACCGTAATTCGTCCATTAATATCACATGACATATCCCATGATCTCTCATTTCCCTCACACAAAATAATGCATAATCGGAACTGAGTACTGCTCACATTATTACCAAAGTCCCAGGTAGTAACCTTTATCGCCTCCAAAATGTTGCCAAACTACCTGTTACCATATTGTAAAGATCAACCATAAAAAGTTAATGAAAATTGACAAAAATCCAATTTTTCTTACTATTGTAAAAAGCGCCAAACAAATAAGTGGGCAATTCTGCACTTTACCGTACTTTTTTTGTAGAAATACAGGTGAGAGTGAAATTTAATGTTAATTCGTGTTATTAGTTTTAAGAAATAACTACACAAAATATAGCCTCATTAACCTCAAAATATATAGAAGGTGAACTCATAAAATCCCCTGATTCACATGATCAAAATTTGTTGAATTTCATACCAGAGATATTTATGAAACTGTATATCATATTCCCCCATAAAATTACTTATTTGACAAAAACTTACACATATAAATAGATTGAAATGACAATGATTGTACATTAAAAAAAAACCTGGAAAACTTAATGAGCTCAAATAGTCAGAAATTATAATAATATAGGCAAAAACTCACTTTTGCCCATTTCTCCATGTTATGAGTAACTTTACACTTTAATACATAGATCAAAATACGAACCAGCTTTTTCTCAAAACAGAAAGCAAATACACAGACGACATTTTCAGAAGATACATCAATTCATTAATTATATATTTAGCTCATTTTTTTTTTGTAAACTATGATACAAAATACATTTCTTTCGTAAAAATTAGCATTGACTTAATATTTAGTGGAAACACATTCTGGGTTGACAAAACAGAAAATAAAAATAGCCAAATGCCGTGTGCCCCGGATACAAGGATTAAACCTAATACTTTAAACCACACACCCTACTTTTGCAACATAACATATGAGAAAAAACGAGTTATCGAATCGAAACTTTCAAAAATGAAAAGAAAATACTGATCAAGTTCATATTGCCAGATACTAAACACAAACTACTTTTCCCACCGAATAAAGCGTGTTAAAAATCACAATAAACTAGAGAATATGTCTCTTAATTACTAAAATTTTCAGTAGTTTAAATTTTTATGGAATGTTTTCTCTTTTTAAATGCCTTCGTTTAATTTCTGGTTTTTATCGCAGCTCAAAAAGACAAAGCGGGAAAATTTACAGAGGAATTGCGGCTGGCAACATCAATTCAAACGTTCTCATGCGCTGTTGTTTTGGTAATATCTTGCGCTGTTCTTAATATCTTAATTTTAATTTAAATCAATATAACTTTTAAAATTTATATTGTATTTATTATCTACAGTATGAGTGGAATAGACAGTCTAGTTGAAAAATTAGCTGGTGCTTCAGTGGAGGAAAATGAGCATAAAGAAGTAAATTTTGCCGGTCGAGCTTTGAAATTAAATTCTGAAGACGATGCTGCTGAAATTGTGAAAAGTATACAGAACTGTCCAGGAATGACTGTTTTGCGATTAGAGGGAAATACTATTGGGATACCGGCGGCAAAAGCAATTGCTAAGGCTTTAGAAAATCAGCCAAACTTTAAGAAAGCGTTATGGAAGGATATGTTTACGAGACGCGATAAAACTGAGATACCTGAAGCTCTCAGTTATTTAAGTAACGGTATAATGATTTCTAATGCCAGGTTAGCTGTACTAGATCTAAGTGACAATGCCTTTGGCCCTCGCGGATTAATCGGAATTGTTAAACTTCTTGAGTCTCCGTCTTGTTACAGTTTAGAGGAACTGCATTTGAATAATAATGGACTCGGCATATCTGGAGCAAAAATGTTGGCAGATGCTATGTGTAACTGCATCGAGAACAGCCGTAAGGGTGGCACTCCTTTGAAATTGAAAATTTTTGTTTGCGGTCGTAACCGACTTGAAAATGAGGGAGCTACTGCACTTTCAAAGTTTCTGAAACAACTTGGAACTTTGGAATCTGTTGCTATGCCTCAGAATGGCATCTATTTCGAGGGTATTAAGCATTTAGCTGATGCATTCTCTTCGAATCCAGATCTGAAAGTTATTAATCTCGAAGATAATAGCTTGACCGAAAAAGGTACGTTTTATATTGCCAATTGTCTTCCATCATTAAAAAAACTTCAGATGCTTAATCTCGGAGACTGTCTTATACGAACTGGTGGTGCCTTAACATTAGCTAAAGTGTTAAAAGAAAGTTGTCCTGACCTGAGGGAGATTTATCTTGGCTACAATGAGATTAACAAAGAAGGTGGTAAAGCACTTGCTGATGCTATGGAGAACAAAACAGCTCTAGAGTTGCTAGTTCTAAATGGTAATCAGTTTGGAGATGAAGGTTGCGTACTCGTAATAGAAAGGATGTCAGAATTCGGAAAATCTGATCAGCTTGGCACGTTAAGCGAAGATGAAGGTAAGGTGTTATTCATACGAATGAAATTATTTTATGTTGAATTTTCAGCAAAAGTTTGTATCATTAGAGTTTTTATTTCTAATCAACTGTACGATGAGTTGGTAAAACTGAGTTGATTTACGCAATAAAAAAAACTTAATATCATGGTCAGGACCATTCCTAGGCCATTGGCTGACTGCATACTTTCCTAAGATTGCTGCCCCAAATTTAAAAAAAAAAAAAAAAAAAAAAAAATGCTCAATGATTAATAAAATTTTTATTTCATACTCATTAAGTACTAAAAAGTACTTAAATATGGCAAATTAGTATTTAGATATAAATAAATTTGAATTTAAAATATTTAGCCATGGTATTGTGAAAGTCCAGCCGTCCCTGATTTTCACTGCCCGCTTTGTTTTACATGCTGCATCCCCACTAGGAATGGCCCTAGTGATGTCTATTTTCAATGCCCTCAGCTTTTTTTTTTCTGTACAGTGCTGTAGAGGTAGGATTTCCCACATGAAAAATTAGCTTTGCCTATGTGGTTAGAGTAGACTGAAGTAGTATTATTGTGAAATTGTTGTTTCATTTGTCAGGAAGTTGTTCCATTTATGGTAACCTGAGTAATTGAATGCCCCGTAAATATACTTTTAACTAGAACTGTATGCTCCTTTGACTTTTCAAGTGAAAATATATCGATATGTACATGGATAAAGTCAAGGTAGTGCGCAATGCCAAGTTTGTGCAATTCTCTGATTTTTTTATGTGAAAATAGGTCGATGTGTGCAATGCCTAGTTTGTGCAATTCTGTGATGTTTTTAAGTGAAAAAAAGGTCAGTGTGTACATGGATACTGAATTTTTGACACTACACAAAGACAAAATAACAAGTCAAAAAATTGTGCAAACTCGGTATCCATGTACCGCCAAAAATCACCAATTTTCGCCAAGGGATACCCGTAAATATATTTTTACCGCCAATGTTAAGAATGAAATAATGAATCTGCTAATTGCTGGCTGGATGTGCTAGCTACTGACTAACTAGAAAGGTGTACTTATGATTGCAATATTTCGTTACATATCTTGTCCCACTAATATGTAAAATGCTGCACCTTTTAAATAAAAGGTGGGTTAATCTTCAGATTATGGTAACTTGGTGATTTTTTGGCGAAAATTTGGCGACCAACCCTGCTACAGCAACCTGCTAGTTTTTTTTTTTTTTTTTGGACGCCATTTTGTTTTCACAAAGTAAAGGCATGTTTTTTTTTTTCCAACAATCTGCTAGCCGAATTACGCTTATGCTAGAACTTTTATGGAACAAAAGTCCTTAATCATGACGAAGATTAGGTGCGAAATTGTGAGAAAGTGCAGAATTGCCCACTGCTTGCCGCGTTTTTCAGAATTGCACATGCACGGTATCATACATGTACACGCCAACCTATTTTCACTTAAAAAAAATATGCCAGAATTGCACAAAAATGGCATTGCTCACACTCTTGACTTTATCCATGTACACTGCTAAAGTCCTAGCTAGTAACCTTTATCGCCAATTCAAAAGTTCAATCCTTTGATGATTAAAGAAATTTTTTACTGTAGTCTGCCTTCTTGACAAGTGACGTTTCTTTGCTTCCAGATCGTCATTTTTGCAACATCATTATGTCGATTCCTGTGTTTCTTGCAACTCAGTATATGTAGTTATGTGTAACTGTGGATTTGATGAATAAGCAAAATCGAAACTGATCAGCCAGAGCATTTCATAAGTGAAATAAATGCTTATTTTGCTCTTAAAAGAAACAGCATATATATTTTTACAGTTTCCATTCTTATTTGCAACATGTTACTTATTTTTACATAAAATATAACAAACTTTTAAGAAATAAAGCTTGCGCAACGCTTATCAAGGAATGCTCGAAGTAACAATGTTTTCAGCTCGACTCGTTGTTGCCACACGGTGAATCTTAATAACTATTCAAAACATTACATCATGTTACCATTTAGGAAATCTTAATAATTATATAGAAACATTAAATTATGTTCCACTACATTACTCCCCCTCCAGTAACTGTGTTACGATTTAAGAGATTCTGGTAGTGGAGTAATATAGTGTAAGCTAACATTAGAATTAAAAATACTAAATACAATAAATAAATACAATTAAACATATCCAATAATAGAGGTTAGGAAAAATATTCAACATTATTATTAAACCGTAAAGGACGTTTTATTAGTCGTCCAGTTCGTGAGACTCGAGGTCATTCATCATTGGTCTCAGATTTTAACACAGTCTGAGTTTTGGGCTGGGTATCAGAAGTTTCTGGTTCCAGCCTTTGCTCACCTGATGTTAAACAATAGGCTGGCTTCAGCCTGTCAATCGAAATGTTTACTTCCTTACCTTTGATTTGTAACAAGAAGTATTTTTCCATTCTTTTAAGTACTTTGAAAGGTCCTCATAATTAGGTTCTAATGGTTTCTTGACTCATTTGGCCATTTAGTTCTTAGGAAAACATGAGTACACACATTCAGATCTTTATGGACAAAAACTTTAGGAATCATTTTTCTCTGTACCGCAGAGGACTTGAACAATTCCATTTGTTTTTGCAATTTATGCAAAAATGTTTGAGGTGTTGTAGAAACTGTCGGTTTATCAAAAAATTCTCCAGGAAATTTGATTGTTTTCCCGTAAACCATTTGTGCAATGAAATATCCAGAGTCTTCTTTTAAGGCTGCCCTAAGACCTAGAAGAATTGTTGGAATGGATTCGGACCACTTAATGAAATTATGACATTTGATAGCAGCTTTCAAAGTTCGATGAAATCTCTCAATTTTGCCGTTACACTGTGGATGATAGGAAGTTGTGTGTTGAATTTTGACTCCACATATAATTGCCAAGGTTCGAAATAGTTCAGAAGTAAACTGTGCTCCTCCGTAATGACTTGGTAAGGAACTCCAAAACGAGTGATCCAATGTTCATAAAAAGCTCTGGCAACGGTTTCTGCTGTTATGTCACGCATAGGAATGGCTTCCATCCAACCAGTATAGCGATCAATGCAAGTCAAGCAATACACAAAATTATCAGATGGTGAATAAGAACCTATTAAGTCTATGTGAACTATAGTAAAACGTTCATCAGGCTGCTGATAAGTTCCTAATTCAGACTTCGTATGACGTGGAACCTTATTTTTTTGACAACCAATACAGGCACGACACCATGTTTGTATATCCTTTTTGATATTTGGCCAAATAAATTTGGATGTCATTTCTTCGACTTGTCAACGGTCGACTTGATTCCTGGATGAGCAAGGCCATAGATTTGTTGAAATATATCCATTCTACATTGCTTGGGTATAAATGGTCTAATGTTAGAAGAAGACGTATCACACCACATATGTTACCAGATGGAAGTAAATAACTTTTGAAATTTAATGTTTTTTTTTTTTTTTTTTAATTCTTTATCATTAACTTGTTTGTCAGCAATTTTATCATAATCAATAAGTGAAATAGAGACATCGGCTATTCTTGATAACTGATCTGCGACAATGTTTTCACTTCCACTAATATGGCATATATTAGTAGAAAATTGAGATATGTATTGCATTTCGCGCATTTGTCTTGGTGATGCCTTTTCACTCTTTTGTCTGAAAGCATAAACTAGTGGTTTATGATCCGTAAAAATTTTGAAATCGCGACCTTCTAACATACGTTTAAAATGCTTAATTGCAAGATATATTCCCAGTAACTCGCGGTCATAAATACTGTAATTTTTCTGAGTGCTATTTAATTTTTTGAATAAAACGCTAAAGGTTTCCATGCTCCATTTTCAAACTGTTGGAGAACTGCACCAATAGCCCAACCAGAAGCATCCGTGCATAATGATAAGGGCAAATCTGGATTGGGATAACTTAAATGAGCTACGTTTGCCAAATCCTGTTTACATTTTTCAAAGTTAAATATAGCTTCATCTAACCATTTAATTTTTCTTATATCTTTTTTCATAGCACCCTTTAGGTATTCATGAAGTATTGCTTGTGTCCTAGCAGCATCTTTCAGAAACGGTCGATAAAAATTCAGCATCCCTAAGAAAGTTCGCAAATCATGGATAGTCTCCGGTAATTTATAATTTGATATTGCTTCGACTTTTTCAGGTAGAGGACGAGATCCTTCCGGTGTTATAAGATATCCTAAAAATTCTAAGTTATCAACACAAATGATCGAATTAAAAATGTTGATTCTCAAACCATATTTATCTAATTTATCGAAAACAAGTTTCAAGTGATGTCTGTGTTCTTCTGAGGCAGAAGCAATTAATATGTCATCGAGATATGGAAAAGTAAAGTCGAAACCTTGAAATACCTCATGTATGAATCTTTGAAAAGTAGCTGGTGCATTTCGCAAACCGAAGCACATTACATTAAATTCATAGAGGCCAAATTTCGTAATTATGGCGGTTTTCTGTTTGTCCTCTTCGGCTATAGGAATTTGGAAATAGGCTTTGAAAAGATCAATTTTGGAAAATATTTTTTTGTCTTTTAAAATGTGGTTAAAATCAGTAATCCTAGGGATAGGGTATCTGTCAGGAATAGTTATAGCGTTAAGTCTTCGATAGTCTCCACAGAAACGAAAATTTCCATCTCTTTTAGAGACTACATGCAGAGGACTAGCCCATGGAGATTTAGACTGATTATATTTTTTTCCAACATACACTGAAATTCTTGTTTGGCAATCTGTAACTTTTTACTATCTAGCTGTCTTGGCTTGGAATACACCGGTTGACCTTCAGTTAAAATGTGATGCTTAACATTTGTTATCAAAGGATTAGGTTTTGTAATATTGGATACTTGGATAACAGATCATGATATTTTAACTTATCATGTATTAAACTTACATCATTCATTTTGGTGATGGATGTAATGTCACATTGAGTAGTAAGGTTAGTTACACCATTGATTAATCTTTTGTTGTTTAAATCAATTAATAACTTGAAATGGTCCAAAAAAGACTGCTCCAATTATGCCTTTATTAATTT